TCTGGGATCATCACATTTAGGATCAGGTTGTGGCTTATGTGAGGCATATAGTTTGCCATAATAGTGTTCGATCTCAGAGAACCTCAGGCTTTGACGTGAGGACATTGCCATCATGCGTCTGGAGTCTTGTGATGTGACTTCTTCCAAGCTCCCGAACAAAGATTTTGGATCCCTTGTTTCGCTCTATTGCAAAAAATTTCTGTTTCTGTTTCGAGAGCTTACTGTGCGTAATTTTGTGATTTGTCTTCTTATTTTGTGACTTGGCATTAACTTTTTGGACTGTTTCTTTTATAATAACTTTGTACGTGGTAGAGCCACGCTACAATTTATATTATAGTTGTAGCACGAATGGGTCGGCTCAACCAGGGCAGGTCCACGCTCTCACAGAATACCGGCGTAAAATAGCAGCATAATGCTGATCTGTTTCGTATGGCAAGTGTAGAGAACCGGAGATCCTTTTTACTAGAATCGAGGCATTCCATCTTAGTCCTCAGGCGTGACAACCCATTTGCATTTTGATTCTTATGTGAGGATAAATGTGTATCTCTATGGGCCATAGCATCCACTTACCATCAGGTGGAGTGTGTGCTCGTTTGTCACCCAATGCTATAAAAAATATTCGTTGAAGTATGTGCACTTGTCACAAAGGATGATTGGGCAAAAGTAGTAGATAAAACAAGAAAATTGATTATGGATGACTTTGAAGGAGACATTAATTTTGAATGCATTATTTAAAATTAAATAATAATTAATATAAACAACGACATTCCTACTAGTTGTACTGAAAGTGATTGAATAAATTTATTTTTAATCGAGTTTCAATCTTAAATTTTTATAACTGTGCCTCTAGAAATAAGCAGTAACAACAAATACGAAGAAACTGATAAATCTTGTGTTTTAAATTATCGGTTTTTAATTTATTCTGGTATTTTTCGCACCAAACTGTAAATGATTACTAACTCTAAATAATCGATATCGATTTTTTTAAGAATCGAATATTGTACGTTCCCATCTTTTGGTTGGCATGCTTGGTGCAATAATTCTGACAGCTGTCAAAATGTATTTCTTAGATTTGGTTGACTATAGTGAGGATCCTATGAACGAGGAAACCTACTCCGCCTTGGGATAGGCCGTCTCCCTCCCGAAAGTAGAACAGATGGCCAGATTGCAGGGTAATTGTGTCCTCTCCCTCTCTTCGGACTTCACTTAACCCTACAAAGTTATTTATGCAGTTGATGTATCTAGAAAACTGTACCGCAATTGCAAAATTTTTAGTGTTTGCGTGATTTCTACACTTAACACTAAATTTTAAGCTTCTATTGTCTACTAGAAGTGCCTTGGAGTTTTGATGATCGGTCAGTCATTCAGTAAGTGAGTGACAAAATTAAGAAACTTTGTCTATAGTACGGCCAACTAGCATCGATACGAAAGGTAATTTACCTTAAAAACGACTGTGGAGTTGACAATCTATTATCTATCTCTTTCCACCATGTGTTTGTCGTAATGTCTCGTTTTCCCGGTAAAAACATGTCAGGGTTCGCCAACATTCGGGAGGCCATTTTAGTAATTGTTGTTTATTTCATTATTGCTATTTTGTTTTGTTGATAATTATTTTTTATTAAGAGTGGTTAATGATGGAGCCACAAACAAGTACGTCGAGAGATAAATCACCGAAAAAAAAAACCGTTCAATGGTATATATATATATATATATATATATATATATATATATATATATATATATATATATATATATACCATATATATATATATAGGAATAGGATATAATATATGAATATTGTTTAGTAGTTTTAATTGAAACTTCTTAGTTCGGAGTGTACTTTAAAAATATCTTAAAGTTATTTAAAAACACCAACTGTAATAATAAAACTTTTCTTAATTTATTAAAGATGCATGTAAGTAAAATATATATCATTTTAATTTATTCTTTGATTTTAGGTGACTAGTTTTACTGTGAATGAAAAAATATGGTTATTAATACCTACAAATATGTTAAGAAACTTGGCCTAATGATAAATACCTATACAGAAAAGAGATGGCGCAAAAAGCATTTATTTAATTTAAATCTGCATTATACAATGATTCACATAATAAGAAAATTTATAAAGTCTACTTTTTTGGTTTGCTAGACATTTTTTAAAATTATATTGTCTACTTAAATATATAATCTAACTAACAAAACGTTACGCACCCCTGCTATTCCTAATAAGCTTGGGTTAGTTTAATTACATTTGGTATCGCTTCTCATTGGCCGGGGTATAGTTATAATTATTTAAACTACTGGTTCAAATTGAATGAAATTTGAAATATGCCGTGTTTATACAATGCCTGCTTCGTTGCTGAAAATCAGTCTTCTAGTTTTATCCACAACAAAATTATAGAGGAGTCGAAAAGGCCTGAACTGCTTCGAGAAAAGGTTGTTATGGCCACTCGGCGACTCGACAGATACCAGGAGGAGGATCTAGACTAATTTTATCCGGAAAATTTTGATATTTCTTTTAATAGAAATATTGATACGATAAAATAAATGGTCTTTAATGATTAATTAATGTTAAATTTAAATAGCACCACATTAATAAATTCCACCTAGGCGAAACCTATAGCTAGTTATATCTAAATATCATTTTAAAATAACATACCTGCCTACTTGCGTTATTTTCAATTATTTTTCCATTAATCGAAAATTTTCAATAAAGCGAATAGTATGACGTTACACCGTTATTAGCGTGTTTTCACTATTGGTAATGTGCATTTTGACGGTGCGGACTCGATGAGTCGCCATTTCTAATCCCGTTCTTTATGCGTACTGTAAGTCATTTTTACGCTAAACACTAGCTCGGAAGAAACCTCTGTCCTAAGAAGAACCAGCAACAAACCCAGGGGAGGGGGCTTATTTTTAAAATAAAATCAATTTACAATATATTATTTTATACAATTGGTATGACATTAGAAACAGCATGGTAGCGATCACCTCACTCCCAGGGGATATTATCAATCATGTATTCTTTAGTATTTTATTAACCCTTATTAAACAATTTTTACGTAATAAAAATTATATATAAATATTTTCTGGGACTTTGTTGTAAAAGCGTATACATAGTCTCATAGAGGAATTACTTACTCTTTGGAGGAGTCGAGTAACTGTTACGAATAACTTGTGCCTTTTTCTAATATTTACAGAATGTACATCACTTATAATAAATTACAATAAACAAATAAACTAATTTAATTTTCGTTAATAAATATATTGAATCCAAAGTTAATAAACATATTTATTTCTATAAATTTTCTCTAAGGGATTCCTTCGGACCTAGGTTATAAATTGAAAAAAAGATAGTTTAAATAATATAACAATAATAAACGAATCTAACTGTTTCAACACATGTAAGCCTCTTTATCTTTACGAGTATATCTTTCTCCTTATATCTTAATATTTTTTACGAGGACCTCATTAAAGCTTTGCGTCATCTGTAACTGAGAAAAAGTGGATTTAACAAGGCCCAACTCCTCCCTATTTAAACACTGGAATGCACCTGTTTAACATTACGTGTGGGGAATTTCATACATTTCGTTTTAATACCGTTCAAAAGCAAATTATTGATGTTAAACCAGTGTACTACTTTCGATAAAGCACTTCGTGATACTTCAATAATTGTCTTTTGATTCAGATAATCAACGAAGTATCATCAGCAAAAAAAACTATATCATGGTTATTCCCTACAAAGTAAGTCATTAATATACTCTAAGATCTAAGGGGCCAAGAATTGGGCCCTGAGCAACACCCATAGGTCATACCGATCCGGAAGAACTGCTGCCATTAATAACTGTTTGTGTTCTAATATTTAGATATGATGTAATAAGTTTCAGTGCTATGTTTTACACCATAATGATGTAGCTACCTGATTAATGTCTCATATACCCAAAGCATCCTCTAAATTCTTTTATGCCCAGACCATATGGTTAATTTATTATACAAAGCACTTTATAGGGGACCATAGTAACTTCATTTATAAACAAAAAACCAATGTGTAAGTTTGTTGTTGTCGCGTCATACGTAAGTAATTACCAGTAAGAATAGGCATTTCCACTATTTTATCTTTTCGGGGACTCCAAAAACCCCATTATAACAAAATTTCTGACGGATTGGAGCAACTAAGTGTTTGATCGCCATCTTAGATCCACCATCTTAAATTATTTCTTATCGCTAGCCGTTGACCCTTGTCGGTCCCTACAACATTTTTCCAGCACCAACAAACTATACCAAACCATCATATAATATTCAGGAGTTCCAGAATATTATATTTATATATATATATATATATATATATGTTCTACTCGCGGCCAAATATATATACATACATACATACATACTTACAAACATGGCCGCTGTGACCGAAATTCAGTCTGAAGGACCTTAAAATTGCGGTCGAATTTCAACATTTGGACGACCACTAGTAAAATATTAAAAATCGTTAAATTCCCACGGGGCTCTTCTATTTTGACTTATAATATTATAACAAGATTATTTAAGATAGATATGCAATTACCAAAAGCTAGGACTAAAACTTATGGTTCGAAAACTATTCAGTTTGAGGGAGCACTATTGTACAATAGCCTATCGAATGAGGTATTTCATGAAAAATCATTTTCAAAATTTAAAGATAAATTAAAAAAGCACTGTCAAACATTAATTTAAAGACAGTGCTTTTTAATCCTAATTTTGATATATTTATGTAACCTTATTCATATATCACCGTATTTAAATGTATTATTTTTACTAACTACGTTATTTTTAAGTCTCATATAAGTGAATATTTGTTCTTTTTTGAGATAATAAACTCTTTAAACCAAAATAAAACAAGAACAAAGTCAACAAATATTAGTATTACTTAAAAAAAGTCATTTTAAAAGTTATATTAAATTATTTATTTCACAATTATTGTTAAAATGACAATGAAATAAGTATTTTTATAATAAGTTCTACTTTACATACTTTTCCATGAACTTTTTGTGAAACTCTGACCTTAAGGAATCATTTATGAATGTATTTAATTTTTTCTCTGGCTCGGAACGGGCACAGTTTTTAAACACGACGTCATCATCCCATCGCCTTTTAACCTATAAGTAAAGCAAATATTTTAAAACTGATTGGAAAATTATATCATTACCACTTAAAAGTTTTAACTATATCTTAAAACTATATGAAACTAGATTATTAAAAAACACTACATATCATTCAGATTACCTTTAAATCATTTTTCTGTCCTGCCGCCGAGTAGTTTAATAACGGATTGCCTGAAAGTATGTTTTCCATTCGAATTCTCTCTTCTTCTTGTTTCTTTTCAGCCTCCTATAAAATAAAGAAACGAGTGTGCTTATGACGACTATACACGACTGAAGGTAAATATCTTTAGCTCCATCTATATATATATATATATATATATATATATATATATATATATATATATTCAAGAAAGCTGCCAACGCTGCAACACGCTGCCAACAAACTTATATTCCACCTCATGGACTACAGCAGTCCATGGACACCTGCAGCCAACTTCAAACAAATAAGGCTACAAATACGAAGTGACAACCTCTATATTGAGAAGTGATAGTGATTTTTTAGTTCCTAACCTCTACTCCACTATAATTTTTCAAAACATTGTTTTGTATTTTTAAAAAAAGTTTTGAAATTTGAAATTCCGTGACTTCCTCCTCGTGGAATTTATTACGATTGGATTACATGGTTTTAACTTATTTGCACGGAACCCTCTTTTTCTAAAATAAAAGTTGCCTAAGTTACTCCTTGTAACATGAGCTATCTGCCAGCAGAGATTAGCCGGAATACAGACAAATCGACAGACAAAAATTAAAAAAAAAAAAGGTTTTTTTTTGTTATAGTACCTATATACTTTTGAATGCATTTAGTAAAAAACTGTTATTTGGACATTACAAATAGACATTTCAATTTAATTGTTTGTATAGATGTGCACTTTTACTTTCTTTTTTTACTATTTTTCTTAAAAAAGGGGGCAAAGAAGCATGGGGTTCACCTAATGGTAAGTAACTACCACTGCTCACCAACTGCAAAACCTTTTTTCTATTATATTTCTGTATTTACTGTAAAATAAACTATAAATTAGTTAATTCCTTTGCCTATCTATGTATAGGTTGTGACACGAAAGATGAAATTAAATATAGTCCACTGCGCATGTACAATCAAGCAGAAAAATGAAAATATACTACGAATAACGCTATTTTAAATAGTCCCAAAATAATGTATAAAGTAATAAATATTTGCACAATAATTGAAAATATTATAGAACAATATTTTTAAAAGTACAAAAATAATCGCAAGAATTTAAAATTTTATAACAGGTAGTCGCTAACACTTTCGATATCGATAGTACACAAGACGACACAAGAAGGTGCGCGGGCGACGGGACGCAGGGACAAAATACTTGGGAGTAGCGCGTCGCCCGTTGCTATGGTTTCGCTTCCCCGTACCTCACACCTAACCGTGCCGACACCTATTTTTCGGTTCTGCGCACTTCCATGACTAGTGGCGTTGCCTATACGACTCTATGATCCGACTTCCGAGTTAAATTTCCTTTTTTTTAAATCAACGAAAGCTCAATGAATAATAATAATAATAATTTTTTATTAACATTTTCATAGTTCACATACTTTTTACAAATATATACAATACATTATGAGGACCAATTTGAAATGTGTAGAAACCCGAGTCTAGCTAGCTTACTTAGTAACCTGTATTTAGGAGATACAGTCCCATAATGATGCGATTGTCTTGAAATTTGGTGTTTATACTGTTAATGAGTTCTTAATTAGTGCAGAATGCAGTTATAAAGGGGGGGGTCCTCCCAACCCTTTCATTCTGCGAAATTATAAACTCATTTCTTAGATCGAGATGTAGCTTTGCATGATGACATATAAAACTAGTGCCCTCGCGCTAGTATTGTTGTTTCTACATTTAACGGGAATTATAATACAAGTTTTTGAAGTAAAACTTCTTTACGCAATCTTAACTTGGGGAATAAGCTGGCGAACGCGTGACGAAAGCGTTACGAAAAGTGTGATCGGGCGAGTTGAACGGGAGTTGAGTGGGGGATAAGCAAGAGAGAGCAGTGCGCGCGCACATTTTCTTTCTCTCTTTCTCTTATGATAAGGTATTTTTCGTAATTTTATTTCGTTTTGAACAATTTTATGAATTATGGAAGGGAGCCGATAATAAATTTAAATATTTATAGAAAATTAGAAACTCAAGTTTTCAAATTTTCTTCTAAATTTCCTTTTTTTTAAATCAACGAAAGCTCAATGAATAATAATAATAATAATTTTTTATTAACATTTTCATAGTTCACATACTTTTTACAAATATATACAATACATTATGAGGACCAATTTGAAATGTGTAGAAACCCGAGTCTAGCTAGCTTACTTAGTAACCTGTATTTAGGAGATACAGTCCCATAATGATGCGATTGTCTTGAAATTTGGTGCTTATACTGTTAATGAGTTCTTAATTAGTGCAGAATGCAGTTATAAAGAGGGGGGTACTCCCAACCCTTTCATTCTGCGAAATTATAAACTCATTTCTTAGATCGAGATGTAGCTTTGCATGATGACATATAAAACTAGTGCCCTCGCGCTAGTATTGTTGTTTCTACATTTAACGGGAATTATAATAAAAGTTTTTGACGTAAAACTTCTTTACGCAATCTTGACTTGGGGAGTAAGCTGGCGAACGCGTGACGAAAGCGTTACAAAAAGTGTGATCGGGCGAGTTGAACGGGAGTTGAGTGGGGGATAAGCAAGAGAGAGCAGTGCGCGCGCACATTTTCTTTCTCTCTTTCTTTCTTATGATAAGGTATTTTTCGTAATTTTATTTCGTTTTGAACAATTTTATGAATTATGGAAGGGAGCCGATAATAAATTTAAATATTTATAGAAAATTAATATGTGTTTATACATACATATATATATATATATATATATATATATATATATATATATATATATATATATACTTTTGAATGCATTTAGTAAAAAACTGTTATTTGGACATTACAAATAGACATTTCAATTTAATTGTTTGTATAGATGTGCACTTTTACTTTCTTTTTTACTATTTTTTCTTAAAAAAAGGGGGCAAAGAAGCATGGGGTTCACCTGATGGTAAGTAACTACCACTGCTCACCAACTGCAAAACCTTTTTTCTATTATATTTCTGTATTTACTGTAGAATAAACTATAAATTAGTTAATTCCTTTGCATGGATCAAGGGACACAGTGGATCTAGAGGCAAAGATGCAGCAGATGAACTGGCCAGAAGGGGATCGGCCCTAGCAACTATTGGGCCGGAACCAATAATACCAATCGCCTTTGGCTACGTTCGTTCACTGGTACGTAGATACTTCAATAATTTACACACTCAGCTTTGGAAAAATTTTGTAGACTATAGACAAGCTAGGGAGGCCCTACCTGAAATAAACAGTCGTCTAACCTTACTAATGGGACTGAACAAGCCACAGATCAGGATAGTAACCGGTGCTATCACAGGACATGGCTCTTTTAACAAACATTTGTTCACCACAGGTGTTACTGACAGTCCCCTATGCAGGGCATGCATGGGAGAGGAAGAAACGGCGGCTCACGTGTTGCTGACATGTCCAGAAGTCGCTTCATACATCACTAAACATCTCGGCACACCGGGATCGCTCCCCGAAGTTGCTTGCAACATCAAGGGACTGCTGAGCTTCTTCGAAGAGATATCATGGCTCGAATAAGCATATTATTCCTGCCCAAACGCAAAATACGCGCTTAGACGTAGAGTTGCGGAAAACAGCCCGTCGTAAACTAAACTAAACTAAACTAAGGGAAATATATTTAAGTCATATGCAAAACAATCCTTTGTTTATTTGTATCAAAAATCCACCATCATTACAGAAGAAAGAGAGTGTGTGCAGGAATTGCATAACTTAATTCCTCCCTCTCCCTTCCATCAATGGACAACCAGAAGTTCGGTCAATTAATACAATCGAATCCACGACGCATTCGAACCAAACAATTAGTTACATCATTTGTTATGTGTACAAAACGAAGGAGTGGAAGCCGTGAGCATCTGTTTCCATTCATTTAAATTGTGGGTATCTTCAAGGCAAGAGTGAATAGACTTTTATTAATTCAATGCGCTTTTACCATCTTAGGCTACATCACCACTACCCATTAGGCGGGATTGTAACTAAGCCCTGACTTAGAAAAGTAAAAAAAAGGAAACATATCTATTAAGAATTTTACTGATATTACTCAAGTTTATTCTATGATACAAAATGTATCATTATTATATTGTTACTATATCAAATAAATTAGGTACCTACCATATAATCATTGCAAATAATGAAAGTATAAACTATACCTTTTTTGCCTGCTCAATGGCCCGTTCTTTCTTTATTTTATTCAACTCTGCTAACAAAGCTGCAGTGTCATCATCAGAGTCATCAGAATCTGTAGAATCACCTTCTAATGGATCATCTGCATCTAAACTTGCTGCTGGAACTTGATCTATCTTCAACCTTTTTACAGGAGGCTCATTTTGTCTTCTAGCTGTAGGTGCTTTGCTTTCTTTTTCCCTCTCATCTAATTCTTTACGGAAGTCCCGTGAACGGAGTTCTTCAGTAGTGCCTTGGCCTTGTTCCCTTTAGAAAAAATAACATGTTTTAGGTATAAAAATGCATTTTAAAATTGAATACTTAAAAGAGTAAATAATATAGAGCCGTGGCTGGTCTAAGTTGTATCAGAGGTTTATTGGAGAGGAAATGAAAGGACACTTAGTTTAGTTTACGATGGGCTGTTTTTCTTAACGAAGCGCATATTTTGCATGTGGGCAGAATTATTTATTTAAACTTTATTGAACCTCATATATCAAGTACAGGATCAAAAGGCGGACCTAATTTAGGGCAATGATAGAACTACGAAGGTGGTTACTAAGAAATTAACTATATATATATATATATATATATATATATATATATATATATATATATATATATATATATATATATATATATTAACAAAATATTATATTAATGGATATGGAGGCACATAGGGGCACAGTGATTATTAGTCAAACTGAAAATAATGGTATAGGCGAATAATAATATCAAATATTCCTAATCATATTTTAAATTTTGTTTAATATATGATTCCCAGTCTGATGACAATTTGCTAAACAGCATAAACGATGTTTCGAGGGTCTTATAGTCTTAGTAGCTGTAATATGTAATATATGTTACCGATTCTATCATACAGCCATTGGTTTTTAATCTCTCAACTGCGGATGTCCAAGACTTGGACACGAAAATATTTCCGTTGACTGCGGGTGTCCAAGTGTTATACATTTTTTACCCGCTCTTTTAATGAAGAAACAAAGCATTATGCGCTATTTCTAACTCATTCTACCATATGTCAATGTGTACAGGATAAAAAAGGCTAGCATAAAAACTTTAGTAGTATATTTTATTTAAATCATTCTTAAATGTCGTCCGTTCCTTGAGTCAGCCATTAGTGTGATTGACGCGCGCTAACAACGAAGTTGTTTGTAATTATTTTGTATTAATTTATATTTATTGTGTGGTGAATTGTGTTAAAACCATGCCTGGGTAAGTAACCTTCTTATTTGTAATCTCATTTTGTGTTTTATCTTATTAAGTACGCGTAAAATCGTTTTTTAATATGTATGAAGCAAACTGCTATCTTAGAACTAACATGCTGGTTGAAGAAAGTTGACTTGAAATGTACGTAAAATTTTAGTTTTGACTGTTAGTTTTGTGTTAAAATATGTGTAATTGTTCATTGTTCACAGTTTTAGTACATTAAAATGAGAATAAAGTGCAATATTTTCAAAATTTTAATGTAAATACGCAATAGGTGCAATAGTGTCCATTTTTGTGACGTCCGCAGTAGTGAATTCTAGTTCTCTGTTTTGCGGGTGGCGAAAAAAGGAACTAAAGTTTGCCATACTGCATCAAGTTCAAATTCGGTTGAATGGTTAGAATGGTAAAGAATCTAGCGCCCTCGAGCAGAGAAATGGAGCTTGGTTGACTCCACGATTGTTCGATGACTTATGAAAAATTGAATGTGGCATTTGGATATGTCATGTATGTTAACACAAGACTTCGGAATTTTTTAAACAATTTATTAAATCAGAAAATTAGAAAGTATTTACATAATATGCTTTTTAATATTTTTTTTAATTTTTTTTTTAATATTATTTAATATTTGAAATTTTTATTTTTTTAATTTAATATGTTGAGTGATTTTTAAGGTCACCTCAGACACATATTTCTTATTTTGTTTTTTTTTTTAGTGTACATTTTATCTGTATGTACTTTGCAAATCTTGTAACGTTGCGTTATGTATCAACCTAGAGCAAGATTGCTGCTACCTACAGTACCATTCGTAAATGAATTGTACTGTAGATACAGTAAATCCAACAAGTACCAGGACCCTTTTAAAGAAATGAGTACCTATGTTACATATTTATTCAATTTTATACTTATGTATGGACATATATCCATATCCATCCATTTAGTTTTTATTGTTGCCTAGCTATAATTTGTTCAGTTAATTATTTCAGACTATCATCGTCGAAATTGTTAAGTTAGTTAAGTTATACAGCCTATTTCCGTCCCACTGCTGGGCCTTCCCTCACTTCTGAAAAGGTTTTAGGGCAAAGAAGTGTCCGCCGCGCTGCCCATATGAGTGTTGGCGAACTGCACATGCCTTGGAAATTTTTTTTATTTCTCAGACAGTCAGACTTCCTCATGATATTTTCCTTCACCGCCGAGCAAGAGGTAAATCAGCACTTAAAATTGCAATTAATAATTTCATTGATGCCGGCGGGGATCGAATCCGGTGTGCTAGCGTACTGTGAAATTTAACGCGAGAGCTAACAATCTGAGCTACCAGGGCTCTCTCATCGTCGAAATGAATACTTACAGTCTTTTTACGCCCCACAGCTGGGCAAAGGCATCCCCTTATTTCTCAGAGGGTTTTAGGGCAAAGAAGTTTCCGCCGCGCTGCCCCAATGCGTGCTGGTGAACTTCACATGTCTTCGAAATATTTTTTTTCTTATTTCACAGACGTGCAGGTTTCCTCACAATGTCTTTCTTCACCGCCGAGCACGTGGTAGATCAGCACTTAAAATTGCAATTAACAATTTAATTATTGCCAGCGGGGATCAAACCCGGCTTGCTAGCGTACTGTGAAATTTACAGCGAGAGCTAACCATCTGAGCTACCACGGCTCTTCTGAGCCACCACGGCTCTCATCTTTGAAATGAATACACCTATAGGATAGGGTGACAAAAGAGCACGCAGTCTACCTGTGGTGGTTGCTGCGGCCCATAGATATCTACATCTATCCTCGATTACAAATCAAAATGCAGATGCATGTCACCCGTGACGACTAAGATGGAACGCCTCGTTTCCAGTAAAAAGTCTCTCCGGTTCTCTACACTCACCATACGAAACACAGAAGGATTAAGCTATTATTTCACGCTGGTATTCGGTGAGAGCGTGGTCCTTCCCCGGTCGAGCCGGCCTATTCGTGTTACAACTATACTACTAATAAACTGCAGCATAGCTCTACCACATATAAAAAATGTTTTAATGGACTAGTACATGATGCACAAAAAAGTGCAGAATCGTACTTTAATTGTGGCATATTTTTGTATAATGCATAAGAAGTGAGTTCTTTAAAAATATACATAAGTAATATTTTTTTTATTTCAGGAAGAGATATATTTATTTTAAATTTTATTATTTCGTAGCTATTATTTGCGTATAATAAAATATGTTACCTTTTGGAGAAATAATGTTGTTGGTTATTGGAAATGTAACATAACCGCTGAGCACCTCGCGGTGCCTCTGTCACTCGACACATATTATGGTGCATTGGGTATTGTTTACAAAAAAACGTTATTTATAACTCTACATCAGCGGGAGTGACCCTTGAGTGGTTTTATGGTTTTTAAAGGAATGAATGAATCTTTATTTCTGTACAAGTGCTGTTAAAGTTTGTATGCTCGAATAAAGTAATTAATTTTTCAATAAATATGGCACTTACGACTAAAATTTTGATATCGGCATTAAGAGTACTTTTCTAAAACTTAGCAAGACCTATTGAAAGATGACTGAATCGTGTAAAGAAAAAGAGAGGTTCAAGACTGAATCATTATAATGAAATTAAAAAAAAACTATTTTTATTGACTAAAGCATTACGCCGCATTATGCCGCATCTGGTCCGAACTACATTCTACATCGGTGTAAGTTGATTGTGGGTTCTTGTAAGCTTATTATTAATGCGTTTTATGATAAAAAATTGTATTGTAGCCTATGATTTTGCACATAAAATATTGAAAACAATAGATGTAAGATTAAAATAAAATAAAATTGAACTATTAAAAAACTTTGTGTCATTGAGAAATATGATAGTTTTGACTTTATTCAATATTTAGTTATACTAATTACTTTAAAACTTTATTAAATATATGTACTCATTTATAGAAAATTCATAGAGAATTCAGAAATGTATACATATTATAGTATTCGATATACCAAAATCAAGATATTTGCGTTTAAACTGATTGGGCCCAATCAGCCGTCCATTTTATTAAACAGCTCCGCAGTAAACAGAGTATTACAGTTAGAGTCTCCGCAGCTGAAAGGTTATGTATGCTGTATAGCAGTTTTTTCAACATAACATTTAAGTCTTTTTAGCTATAGGTACAAAAGATGAAAAACCTTCCCTTAGGAACAGTGTTGCATAACTTTTATTTACATCGACATAATCTTCTACCTGCACCAAATCTTTTTCTTTCATTCATTCTTTTTCAACATATTGATAAAAAAAATTAATTTCATTCAATAGCACCTATATATTTTTAAATTGTACTATGGCAGTTATTTATTTATTTATTTTTGTTTTATTTCACCCTCATAGATAAAAGTAATAAAACTACTGTATTTATAAGTACAAATACGCCATAAAAATAAGTTTTAGAAGGCAGTTTGCATACACCATTGTTCAGAAATAAGATTTGAGTGATACTTGATAAATTATCACTCAAATCTTATTTCTATATATTAATACATGATAAATTACTTGTCACATTGTTTGTCCATAATAGACTTACTACTTAACCGATTTTAATAAAATTTGCACACCGTGTGCAGTTTGGTCCAACTTAGATAAGATAGCTTTTTTGCCCATGAGTGACCCACAATATTTTTTTTTACAAAGGCTACCCGCAGGATGGGGGTCTTTCACCTCTCCTGGGGAATATGGTCATTAATGAACTTAGTAGCAAATTAAATGCCAATAATTTCTACACAGTAGTTTATGCAGATGACCTGACTATACTGGTCTCTGGAAAGACAGCAAACATGGTGTGCGACCAGACATAAGCAGCTCCCGAAATCGAACTCGGGACTAATGTATGAATGCAATCAATAATTAAATGAGATATGTAAACACAACAATGGGACTCTGCAATGCATAAAGGGACACAGTGGATTCAGAGTAAATAATGCAGCAGACGAACAGGCCAGAAGAGGATCCGCTCTGACCACTATAGGGCCGGAACCAATAATACCTATCCCCTTTGGTAAAGTTCATTCACTGGTATATAGAAACTTCACTAATAGGTATTACAGATAGTCCTCTGTGCAGGGCATGTATGCGGGAGGAAGGAACAGCGGCACACTTGCTGCTGACATGTCCGGAGGTCACTGCATACAGGGCAACATCACTCCCTAAAGTTGCTTGCAATATCAAAGGACTTTTAGGGGAGATTTCACGGCTTAAATAATCACATTATTCGTGCCCACACACAAAATACACGCTTAGACATGGACTCAGAACAGCCCGTCGTAAACTAACTACCTTTTCATAGAAGTGATGTTGGGATGTAGGGGACACTCCTTTCTCCCCTCACTCTCCATACCCTCTCATGCCAAACGATTCTAAATTTTTACCCAGTCTTTCTTTATTTGAACTGCTTGAGATACCACAAGCAATCTATAATGTTCGTGAACTGAGCATATTCACTATTCAGTCAATCAATTCCGGTTCAATACAACGTCTACTTAGTGCGAATTTTTATACTGGACATCTGATTGTAATTGCAGTAAAATAAAGGTTGATGAACTCATCGGAATTGTTGGTACCATCCTTTCTAGGCCAGTAATTTTTTGAATACTACTACTTTACCTTTGCCACAAATTCTTCTTTTATTTCGAAAATTTTGTGTGAAATGGAATTTTATAATTGTTTAGACAAAAATACTACCCATATCTTTTAACACTCATAATTTTTTTTTACATGATACTTAACATAAAAAAATTAATTTTATGTTAAGTATCATGATTCAGCGTCAAAACTAAGAGCCATAAAGTATAAAGTTATTTTTGTGTATAAATAATTGCAAACCAAACAATTTTCGTTCCAAACATTTTCATAAGTATTATAGTTTATTATAAAACCATTTATTTGCATGAGTGCAACGGCCACATTAAAACAGAGTTTTAATCATCATGTCTTTAACGAAATAGTTACAACAAAGGTAGAAGTAAATTTTTTAATATCATACCTATTTGTTAACTTGTTAAGTTAAAGGCTAGTGTTACTCTTGTGTCAACTAAATTTGTTATATTTGTGTTTTCTAGGAAGCAATCTAAATATATAAATTAGGATTTTAAAGCTTGAAGACGTAAAATAATTACTTCATGCGCTATACCTTCATATTTTTACTATTATTTTGTTCTATAGTACGGCCAACTGGCAGCAATACGAAAGGTTTTTTACCTTAAAAATGACTGTGGCGTTGACAATCTATTATCTACCTTTTTCCATCTTGTGTAATTGTCATAATGTCTAGTATCCCCAGCAACAACATGGTCAGGGTCCAGACGGGTTCGCAAACATTTGGGAGGCCATTTTAGTAATTGTTGTTTATTTAATTATTGTTATTTTGTTTTGTTGAAAATTGTTTTTATTAAGAGTGGTTAATAATGCAGCCACAACCAAGTACGTCGAGAGATAAATCAACAGATTTTACTTCTCCAAAAAATAAATGTCCGAAGGTATGTATATTGGAATAGGATCTATATGAATGTTGTTTAGTAGTTTTAATAAAACTTCTTAGTTCAGAGTGTACTTTAAAGTTATCTTAAAGTTATTTAAAAAACAGCAACTGTAATAATAAAACTTTTCTTAATTTTCTTGTTCTTCTTCTTTCTCTCTTTTTCTTTTTTTAAGTAATGTATATCATTTTAAATTAGTTTTTAATTTTAGGTGACTAATTTTACTGTGAATGAAAAAATATGGTTATTAATACCTACAAATATGTTAAAGAAACTTGGCCTAATGATAAATAAATACCCATACACAAAGGCACACAGAGATGGTGCAGAAAGTATATTTATTTTATTTAAATCTATATTATACAATAATCCAAATTATAACAAAATTTATAAAAAGTCTATTTTTTGGTTTGCTAGACATTTTTTAAAACTATATTGTCTATTTAAATATATAATCTAACTATCAAAACGATACTCACCCCTGCTATTCCTAATAACCTTGCATTAGTTTTGTTTACATTTGGTATCTTCTCCTTGGCCGTAGTATAGTGTTGTTTTTGTACTTTCTGTGGTCATAGCTTAAGAAATCCTGCTCTAGAGAATCTTGTGACTAGTGTTTTGCTTACCTAAACTTATATTGTGTATATAAAAGTTTATAATATTAGGTTTGCCTTGCCTTATACTTGAACAATAACTTCTGGAAATGAGGTAATCTATACCATGCTGACAAACATTTAAAGACAGCATTGTAGTTATCAATGCTGCATATTAATATTTAAAGGAAATCTGACAGGACTTCTTGCTGATTATTTCGAGGAACCTTTTCAATGCCAGTGTTGGATTGTATCTCTAACGTATATACAGAGAAAAAATTTGGCAGCACATGTTGAGACATAAGACAGGAATCTGTTGTGAATATGTTAATATCACAGGAATATATTAAGATCATTGATCGAACTAAACTACAGTTGTAACAATATAGCATAATGCATGTTATATATCTAATTTTGTCTAAATTATTGATTAATTAAGAACAAAAGTGTCAAATTATTTTTAAGGTATAGTATAGCTAAGTATTCAATATGAAAAGTTAGAAAAACATTTGCCATTTACATTTAAAGACATAACTGAGCTAACTACCTTTCCCTTCAAAATTACTATCAACTTCTATCTCTGAACGAATGTAATATGTATCAATAATATCATAATAATCACTTACCTATATTTTAATTTAGTATGTCCTGGGAGATCACGACTAGAATATTGACGTGATATTGCACTTAAATCTTTTTCACCACGTCCTTGACCACCTCGAGCAGGATCAAATGTTGGTCTAGCAGCAGTCGTCATATTGTAGAGCTGTTCGTTTAATAAAATTAACACCCAATTAATAAAGTAATAAATATTCTTCATACACTACCACTACACGGTTTATGAACTCTTACCTTACTCTAATCTTTAATTCTTATTACTCAACAACTAACTACACAACTAACAAAACACCAACTTATAATAACAAATACAATTTCCTTAAATATTTATCTAAACTCTATGTACCTACTATACTACATTCTTCGAAATACGAATTACAAACAGTGACAGCAGGCAGTGGTAGGCATGGCGATCCATAGATAAATTGATTTTGATTAATCGAAGAATCGATTTCTTGTGCATAAAAATCGATTTCTTAAATCGGTATATAGTACTGAATCGATCCAGTGAATCGATATTTCACCCCAGAAATCACGATCGAAGATTTTTCTCTTTTTATAAGAACTATAAAATTATTTACAATTACCTGAATGTACCCAAACTCATAAAGAATGATAGTTTATGAAGTAAAACTTCTTTAAGCATGCTTGACTTGGGGAGTAAGCGGGCAAACGTGTGACGGAAGCGTTACGAAAAGTATGATCGGGCGAGGCGAACGGGAGTTTAGTGGAGGATATAAGCAAGAGAGAGCAGTGCGCACGCACGTTTTCTTTCTCTCTTTTTCTCATAGCCAGTTAGTTTTCGTAATTTTATTTCGTTTTGAACATTTTTATGAATTAATATTTTCTTCAATACATAAAATATTCTATGTTTAAAGTGAATAAAATAAATTCATTTTAAAGTTCATGTTTTGAGGATTTTCGGGTGAATAATAACAAATTACGGAAGGAAGCCGATAATAAATTTAAATATTTTTAGAAAATTTATATATCCACTCAAACGTCCAGCGCGCGGCCAAGTAAGCTTGAAATGTCCGAGCGCTACGATCACACAGAATTCTCGCCAAGTGGCCGCTGCGCTGGTTAAAAAAACTTAATATCTGACATACTACCATGGAATTTAGAGAATAGAAGAAAGATCGCTGTATAAAATAGTGTCCCAGAAATATGGACAAAATAATCGAGGCGCTGTGATCGCTAAGTTGTTTCAATAATTTTAATATTATAAATAATTACAAATATAAATTATTTATTATTATTGATTTATTATTATTATTACTTTTATAATAATTCATCATTTTTAATGTTTCTTTTTGTCAACAATTAAAAAATTACTTCGCAGACACTACTTACCGACAGCAACACCACTATATATTCTACAAATTTTTAGGGACAGGCGGGCTATGCTTTAGTACGTAGCGATCATTCTCCTGTTCTCTAACCTCTAAGCATACTACTGAGGCTATCTTTATATATATAAAGTACGTGTCACGTTGTTTGTCCCCGATGGACTCCTAAACTACTTAACCGATTTTGATCACACACACCAAACCAAACTGCACAACGTGTGCAGTTTGGTCTAATTTGAGAGATAGGATAGCTTACATTTCAATTCATATTCGCAATATTATTTTATTCCAAATTATATTTGTATATAATTTGATAGTCACAATACATACGCTTTGTACTTTGTACGTACCCGTACTGCGCATGCGGCAATGCTATTTATGAAACGGTTCCTTTAAAAAACAAAAAAGTCTCAACAAAGCAATTTACATTTTTGCAATACGTTAGCGATGACATGTTTTGTCAAAATTACAGGAATAATATTTTGATTACTTATTTGTGACATCTGTCTTTTTTATTCTTTACAATTATTTTAAAAATTAAAATAAAAACAAGACATATAAAAACTCCACGGACATACTCCTCTCTAACCTCCATGGTTGTGAGATATGCGAAAATATGCCGTTTTGTGGATTATCTTAATATATATAAATTACATGTCACGTTGTTTGTCCGCGATAGGCTCCTAAACTACTTAACCGATTTTAATAAAATTTACACACCGTGTGCAGTTTGATCCAACTTGAGAGATAGGATAATTTTTTTTTGCCCATGAGTAACCCACAATTTATTTTTTGCGAATTTAAGGATTCTTAATAGGACATGACAGGGTCGTAGAAAAGGGCAGAACAACGTTTGCCTGGCAGGCTAGTATCAATATAAAAAATACTGTGAATAGGATAATACTTGCAGAATGAGACTACATTGCCTAAAATTCTTCGACATGATGCTAAATAACAAAATAAAAATGGCAATCTCTGGAATACCAATTTTTTTCTAGAATATTTACTTTTACAATTTTTTTTTGCTATAAACTATACTGTTACCGCCACTTTTCAATTTGCAACATTCCGCATTTCTGGTCAATCTTATTGACGAATCAGATTTCCTCTATAATACCTTTCATTCATTCCATCTCATTCCCTTTTGCGACCGGTATCAGAGTAGAAGGGTAGTCTAAGTAAAAACACGCCCGCATGCGGAAGCATATTGTGTCACGCTCGCTATATCTGCTTAATTATCATAAACTTAAAATCACGGCCGTGAATTGTGTTAAATAAGTGTAAATTGCGCAAGAAAACTAGGAGTGCAGCACGCGAGTGTCAACTTGAGGTACGAGAAGAAGCTGCCAGCGTTCTCCAGGTGCGTGCCTTCAGTTTTATGTGTCGGTTGCAAATTTCAACGAAATCTAATTCCAATTACCTATTACATTCCACTTTAACCCACTTTAACACATCACCATATTTTTTGGTCACTTCGTTTGGATTAGAAACATATTCTCTGATCCATTCGGCCATATTAATATATTTCAGTTCCATAACCATTCCTTTTTGTCAACTTCGTTGGAATATTTCCATGAACAATAGGCATAATATATAGTCATATGCAACCCATATATGACATAATATTTATATACCATTGAGGTAACCTATCACATTTCACGACGTAATTTTACTCATAAATTCGGTTTATTTCTTCCACGCATTCATAAGAGTATATTAATTAAGGCTGAATATACTTATATAGACACATATAAATATTATATTTTACCTAATTTCTCGCATATATACATACATTATAATTTATATAATTTCTTATTATTTGCCACATATGCTCACGAACAAATTTTTAAATTTACCTGATATTTTCGCGACAGATTAGTGTTTACTGCGCGTTAATAAATTTGTTCGTCGCTCGCTAGTTAAATTTAAGACTTCGCATATAACTTTATTATTTCGTATATATATTTATTATTAAAATGTCGAAAACTAGCACGTAAAAATAATGAACCTAGGGCTGAAACGCCAGACCCCAAATTAATAATGTTGTTGAATATAACTATGGCTAGGCGCGATTCTTTATTTTACCGCTTACAAACGATTTATGATCGCTCTAAACAATTAGATAGATAGGTGGACAGAGAAGAGTTCCTTTATAGCACAATTTCGATTGATGCATTACGAAGGGATTTCGAAAAAGTATTAACCGATTACAAATTATATAACATGCAAATCTACACAGGAGCAAAAGTGGAATATCAGTCATGGGTCGCGTTCGAGGAATTGTCATATAAAGCGTATAATGTCTCGTCTTACAAGTCGAATAACAAATGAATTTCTAAAATCGGCCACAATATCGCGACCTTTCTTATCACCTATAAAACTAGCGTCGTTTGGTGGTGATATCCGCTCATGGTCGTTATTTTATGCAAGTTTTAAATCCACTGTGCCTGATAATCCGTCCCTATCAGACGCCGATAAATTGTATTACTTGCTAGGTAAATTAACAACCACAACGCATTCAGTGTTCGACGGTATTACTCCTTGTGCTGAGAATTACGAACTTATCTTGAATACGCTTATATAGAAGTATGATGATAAACGCATGCTATCGACCTATATAAATCAAATTTTCGACTTTAAACCAATTTCTAACTCTTCTGCTCGAAACTTAGAAATATTTTTAGATACATTCGGAACCGCGGTTAACGCATTAAAAAAACTTACAAATACCTGATCTATCTGATTTTATAATATTACATACCACTATAAAAAAGTTGGATCCCGAAACAGTTCGTTCGTTCTTTCGAAATGCATTCTCGCAAGAATAAAATTCTTAAATTTAAAAGTTTTACCGACTACGTAAAAGAACAAGCTAATATATTACAGCGCTCTTATCATTCGAGTTTGACTTCGAATTCGAACCCGAAACACCGGCCCACCGCAAAAGCTCCGCAACTATAATCTTATGTCACTATGGCCAATGTATACGAATGTTTATGCAAACATATTGTGCATGATCATTTATACAAGTGTCCGGCATTCTGTAAAATGACAACAAACGATGTTATAAATATGTAAAAGAACGACACGCTTGTGTAAATTGTTTGAGTGGGCAGACATAGGGCAGGGACTTGCAACTCTAATTCTAAATGTAAAATTTGCAAAGGTAAACATCATAGTTTACTCCACTTTGACGCTTTCAAACCTGCTAACGCTCCGTGGTAGAGCCATGCTGCAGTTATATTAGTAGTATAGTTGTAGCACGAATGGGTCGGCTCGACCGGGGAAGGACCACGCTCTCACAGAATACCAGCGTGAAGTGGTAGCTTGATGCTGCTGTGTTTCGTATGGTGAGTGCGGAGAACCGGAGACCCTTTTTACTGGAAACGAGGCATTCCATCTTAGTCCTCACGGGTGACAACGCATCTGCATTTTGATTCGTAATCGAGGATGGATGTAGATGTCTATGGGCCACAGCAACCACTTAACATCAGGTGGACTGTGTGCTCGTTTGTCACCCTATCTTATAAAAAAAAAAAAAAAAAAAAGTTGTGACCACCGCCGCTGAGTCATCAGGGACAGTGCGCGCGACCGTACTGACAACAACTGCACGCCTAGCACCCGCATCGTCGCCCGTTGCGCGAAACGTTGTGTACAACGTCCTTTGCTGCGCCGCTATAAACGCAATCTTGCCTATCCGAAGATTTATTTACACGCAATGTATATACTCCAGTTTTGCTATCCACTGCAATGTTTTGGTACGCGACGCATATGGTACGAGCCGTAGTGTACGTTGCTTATTAGACAGTGTATCGCAGAGCAATTTTATAACGTCGGAATGTTGTGATCGATTAGGTTTATCAGCAAATAATGACAATATAAAGGTAAAGGGTATCGGGGGTTCAAAAAAATACGCAAAGGGAATTGTGGCATTCTAGTTCACTTCTCGTTTTAACGCATAAAAAAAAAATATATATATATATATATATATATATATATATGTTTTTATGTTATAAAATACAATATTTCGTCGCTCGTCGTCGATAGAATAACAGATGACTTACCGTCCACTCTTGTCGACGCATCCGCTGTGCTGTTCTTACAAGGTTTGCCGTTGGCCGATGATAAATTCTTTGAGCCATCACAGATCGATGTTTTAATGGGTGCTTCTTTATTTTCGCAACATTTATTACCCGGTATAATAAGTGATAAATCCGCTGTACCCCCCGCTATACAAACCACGCTCGGTTATGTCATTATGGGCACCGTGCCTGCTCACGAAAACGTAACCTTGACCTGTTGTAGTACGTTACCCGCACCTGCAAATACTAGTAATAATATTTTGTCAAATAGACGAATCTCCTTTGAGAACTCCGCCCACTCAGTCCCCGGCTGAGATAGAGTGTGAGCATTTCTTTCGCGAAACCACTGAACGTGACAAAGAAACGGACACGGGCTCGTTACCTTTTGGGCATGATGTATTTTCGCTTGGTGATACTTATGAAACCTCTACTTAATGACCTCAAAACACCACGACATTTAGGTGTCTTCGAACATTGCGTTGTACGATTGGTCGGTTTTTCTGATGCTAGTGAGCGTGCTTATGGAGCAGTGGTATACGCCCATATTACTCACGCAAGGCAAGTTTCGAAGCGACTCGTCTGCGCCAAGTCATAGGTCTCATCAATGAAGCCTTTGTCTGTCGCACGTCTCGAGCTCTGTGCTGCCGAATTACTAGCAAGACTAATTAGGCGCGTGCACGACATCTACGATTCACGTTATCATATTAGTGAGATGTACGCGTTTACAGACTCAATGGTCACACTTTATTGGATAAACTCTTCTCCGCACCGCTGGCAAACTTTTGTCGCCAACCGTGTCATCAAGATTATTGAAAATTTACCAGTTGCTAATTTTCATCACGTCGCGGGAATAAATAACATAGCTGATTGTTTATCGAGAGGTCTTACGCCCGCAAAGCTAATATCTCATCGATTGTGGTCAAATGGTCCACTCTGGCTCACGCAAGACCCCTCGCTGTAGCCTATCAATAATATAGACCGTAATACTATAGCGCTAGACAACGTACCGGAGGTGAAAATAACCGTAAACCCCACTACTACGTCAGATCCAGAAGTGTCTCTAATTCAGGATCTTAATAAACGCACCTCCTCATGGAGTAAGCTCACGCGTATCCTTTTTTATGTCTGCAGATTTATAAATAAATTACCTCGTTCCGGTTCGATAACAGTTACCGCGTCCGATATATGCGCCGCCGAACATATGATAACAAACGACATTCAAAAAAGACATTTTGCATACGACATCCGACAGCTAGGAGCCGGTAATGATTGCTCTTCCGCGCTAATGAAGCTTAAACCACTTTTAAGTGATGGCCTTATCCACGTTGGTGGCCGCCTTACCAACTCCACTGAAAGTTTAGGATACAAATATCCGATTATTTTACCGCGTCACGACGCTCTTGTAGAGTTGTTGATCGACTACTATCATAAAAAATATTTACACGCCGGACCAGAGCTGCTCATGTCTTTGGTAAGGCAACGATTTTGGATCTTGTCTGTTAGACGAATTATT